TGGGATGGTTCGTGCTAGCCGTCCTGCAGAATGCTGTGCTGGCGCAGCTCTCCTTGGGCATCCTTGTGAACATCCACATCATCCTCAACGTAGCTGTCCTATCTGCCGAGGTGGGGGTAGGTAAAGAAAAAAAGAAAAGAAAAAGAGAAAAAAATAAAAAAAGAAAAAAGAGAAAAAAAGAAAAAATGAAAAAAGATACGTTGATCTGTGGGATGTGTTATTTGCTTTGTGATAATTGGATTATCTTTCTTTCCCTATCTTTCTTTCCYTGTCAGGTTTGGTTTCCTCCTCCCCTTCTTTACCTCTTTGYCTTTTGGYTGCGTGCAAGTGGGTCCTTGTGACACACGGGGATGGGGGCAGCCAGCGCTCAACCTGTCATCCACGTGGCTGGCCTTGTACGTAAGAGGTTATGAACAGGTGGAGCTTTCCTTACCTCTTCCCCCTCCCCCTTTTTTCCTTTTCCTTTTTTCTTTCCCCTTTTTTGCGCTCTGATTCACAATATGAGAGAGAGAGAGAGAGAGAGAGAGAGAGAGAGAGAGAGAGAGAGAGATTTGACGTTATTCTTGTAGGCTGGGACTGATATCGCATCTCATGGTGCCATTGGGCGAGTGGTGGGGAGAGACCCTAAAAGCCACACAGGCACCAGGCCAAGGAGCATGACACAGCTTATAGCCTGGGCGCTTGTGCGCTCAACTCTTAAAAGAACCCTCGGTGTCATTGGAAGCACAACTTCTAGCTTTATCCATTCTTTTACTTCGTTTTATGCTTGCTTTTTTTTTTTTTTTTTTTTTGAAACTCCAGAGTTATCCTTTTCAAGGTCATTTACTATGTTACCTTGTGCGCGTCTGAAAAATCATCCTCGCACAGGCTGGCCTACCTAGCTCAGTTGGTACACCGCTGAATTTTTGAAATATAGACCTGAGTTTTTTTTTTTTTTTTTTTTGAGTGAAAAAAATACGACACGTAAAAAAATAAAAATAAAAATACGACACGTCTGAATTACCCACGGCCGGTCAGTTCGATCTCCACGCTGTCGCCCCCTTTTTCAGTCGATCAGTTGGTACGCCGTCTGAATTACCCACGGCCGGTCAGTCCGATCTCCCATGGTGTGTATAGTGCTGCCGCAGAAATGTTTTGAACGGTCAAGACAAAAAATGAATGGCAGTGTGTGACAACACTGTTGTCAACAAATGGCAGTGCGTGACAAGTTAAAAAATAAATAAATGAATAAAAAAATTGGCAGGGTCCCGAACGAGCCTAGCGCAGTTGGTGGTAAACCCACGCACTGTTGAAACACAGACCCAAGCTCGAATCCTAATGGACCTAGATGAATGCAATGAAATAATTCTGAATTACCTGGGGCTGGTCAAGTCGATGATGATATGTCAAGGTTGTCGCCCTTTTTCTTTTTATTTTTCTTTATTTTTTTATATTTAATAAAAAGGCAGTATCTGACAAGATGGAAAAATGGCAGTGTTTGACACACTCATGAACTGTTGAGATCATCGCCACATGATTCTGAATTACCTGGGATCGTTCAGTTCTATAGTGTTATTATTACTATTTTTTAATTTTATTTAAAGGGCGACGGCCTTTAGATATCATCATTAAAAAAAAAAAAAAAAAAGGGCGACGGCCTTTATATATCATCATTTTTTTTTAAATTTTATTTAAAGGACGACGGCCTTTAGATATCATCATTCTTTTTTTTTTTTAATTTTATTTAAAGGGCGACGGCCTTTAGATATCATCATTGAACTGACCGGCCCCAGGGAGTTCAGAACGATCTTATTCTTTTCATCTGAAGGTATCTGGATTCAAACTGAGCTAGGCCCCTTCTTTTTTTTTTTTTTTTTTCCTGCTTAAAGGGCCCGTGCCAATCTTCTCTGTATCGTTCCAATTTTAACAGAGAGATGTCCCGAAGATTGGCACGGGCCCTTTTAAGCAGGGGAAAAAAAAAAAAAGAAGGGGCCTAGCTCAGTTTGAATCCAGATACCTTCACAGAGAGATGTCCCGAAGGACAATTCTATAGTGTTATCTCAAAGCCATCGCCACTTTTTTATAAGAAAAAAAGAAAGAAAAAAAGAAAGAAAGAAAAAAAGAAAGAAAAAAAGAAAGAAAAAAAAAAGAAAGAAAGAAAGAAAAAAGAAAGAAAGAAAGAAAAAAAGAAAGAAAGAAAAAGAATGGCAGTGTCTGACAAGATAGGAAAACAGCAGAATAAAAAATTGCGAGTGTCTGGCAAAAAAAACTGGCAGGAAAAATAAAAAAAAAATCTAAAATGGCAGTCTGACAAGGATCAAACGAACGCCCTGACAAGATTCGGACTTCTTTGATCAAAGGACCTTTGGATCGGATTCCCCCCCCTCCCTTTCTTTTTAAAAGCCCAGGTTGTGGGTTGAATTGTGAGGTCGCCGGCCTTGGTTCGAGTGATGATTTGAAATATAATTGAATGTGTTGGTGGGAAAAAAAAAAAAAAAAAAAAGAAGCCCACGTTGTTATAGAGGCCAGGCTCGAGACATACGGTGGTCGTAGTCATCAGTCAGCCACGTTGGTTGTCCTCACAATTATTTGTGGGACCGCTTCCCTACCCCTCTCGTGAAATTCTCTCAGCGCACCCCTATTCCCACCATCTTACCTCGGTCTTATGATTCCCTGAATCAGCCAATCAATTTGGCAGCGCATAGTGCGGGCCGGGCTGTTCCACCAAATCAATTTGACAACATAGCTTTCTCGGCCTTTTGGTTAAGATCAGTTGCAGTATCTGTTCTGATCAGTCTAGTATCCGATCCGTGGTCCATCAGGCCACATGATGTTAAATTAACTTTTCAGGGCTAGGGAGGGGCCATTAAAATAAAGGGTAGGCTTCCCCTGCTCGGTCCCTTCAGCGTTGCCTTTGATACGAAGATGGTGGAAGAAGAAGAAGAAGAAGATGATGTTGGAAGAAGAAGAAGATGAAGATGTTGTAAGAAGAAGAAGAAGGAGAAGGAGGAGAAGAAGAAGAAGAAGGAGAAGATGTTGGAATAATAATAATAATAATAATAATAATAATAATATGTTGGAATAATAATAATAATAATAATAATAATAATAATAATAATAATAATAATAATAATATGTTGGAATAATAATAATAATAATAATAATAATTAAAATTAATAATAAGAATAATAAGAAGAAAAAATTTATTAAGACAAGGAAAGAATAAGATCCTTCCATGTTGTGTGTCAATGGTGCTGAGGCAATGTGTCCACACACTCTCTCTTTTTTTCCCCCCATTGGCGTGGAAGGTCTGTTATACAGCCATTAGTATGTGTCTTCGGTACCGCGGGAGATTCTGGAGCCATCTTAGCAAGCACTGCTGCAACTGCGGAGTCTTTAAGTTATTAAGGATAACCGCAGACATGGTGCAATTTCCCTGTTAGGCGGGGTTCAGGAAGGGCAGTCTATTTCAGACGGTTGGGGATACATGGCGCAGAGTGCGAGAGCAGCAGGCTATGCGGTGATATGGCAAGAAAGGAACGATGGACTCTTCAAGAACAAAGAGTGGACAAACAAGCAGATCAGAGGAACGTTCAAACAACTGCTGAGAAGAGCAATAATGGTGGACTGGAGGAGGAAAGTGAGTAAAACAAGAAACCACGAGCCAGGCCTGAAATGGTTCAGAGAAACCTGGTGCAAACGGAAGCTAGCTTTCAAGGCGCGCCAGCCTCCAACTGGGACCTTTCATATTGACCTTCCGCCGGCACTACCGGCCCAGGCCGGAATTGAAAAGCTCTTACCACCAGTGGGCCTATAGCTCCAGTGGTGCATAAGTTGAGGAAGCTAGCGTTCAAAGCGCGCCAGCCTCCAACTGGGACCTTTCATATTGGCCTTCCGCCGGCACTACCGGCCCAGGCCGGAATCGAAGAGCTCTTACCACCAGTGGGCCTATAGCTCCAGTGGTGCATACGTTGAGGAAGCTAGCGTTCAAGGCGCGCCAGCCTCCAACTGGGACCTTTCATATTGGTCTTACCACCAATGGGCCTATAGCTCCACCCGTGAACTGTTAAAATACACACCCAGTAGTTCGGATCCCAATCAACTCATGGGGACCCGCCCCGTACTGAAGAGCAAAGGAAAAGGGGAAACAACCACTGGGCGGTTGCTTAGGGAGGACAAGGCAACGGAAGCAAGAAGGGAGTTGTGGGCCAGCCAAGACTGAAGCTAGAAGACATGCTGGGATCCCAGGCCGAAGACAGAAAGAAAAACCACAGTTGTAGTACAGAATCTACTACAGATAAATCTTTTGGCTTAAGATGCAAAGATATAATTCTCTTTGGTTTTCTATGATATTCTATGACTCTGCAATGGCTCATGTACTCTATGGGACGCGGGACCCGATTTCGAGCAGGTGCATCTGCCCACCAATAGAATGGAGCCATCAACCTGCGAGGACTCCTAGAGGAAGTTGCTCCTATCAACCCCGCTAGCAAGTCCTCTCGTGCCCAAGATGTTTTTAAAAATAAAAAATAAAAAAATAAACAACTCTGAATTTACCTGGGACCATGTCCCACTAGCTCCGTTGAGCTAGTTCAACGT